TTAACTAAAATATCATATTCAATGGAAAAAAACTGTAGCCTATCAGTCATCATTTGATAAAAAAAAAAAAAAAAAAAAAAGCACTTGTTCAAAGTTCCTTGCTACAGGTCTAAAAATGTTTGTCTTCTCTTCTTTTTATCTGGATAATGTACACAGTAAAGTGAAGTTTCTCTGAAGAACACTTGGAAATAACAAGAAGAAAGATGTTTCATGGGTCAGGAAAAAAAAAAAAAGAATGGGTGTCTACTAGAATTTACTTACTGATTCACCCGCTTTTCAAGACTCATTTTTGTTTGTGGGTGGCATGCTCATGGGGGCTACAAGAGGGCACTAGATCCCCTAAAGCTGCAGCCCTTGTGAGCCACCTGACTGGGTGCTGGGAAGCAAACTTAGGCACTGGGAAATACCTGGGGAGCAATCCAGCTCTTGGGTTTATCTTTGAAAATGATTTACAGTATTTTCATTAATACATTCCAGTTGTTCTCTTTAAGGCTTTAAAATAAAGATATCACTTTAAAACAGGATTCCACACTCAAGAGCAAGGTTGCAAGAACTATGCAACACTTTCTTGGATACCTTTACCCTATGCCTTGGATACCTATACCCTATATCACCAAATATTAGCATTTTCTTATTTGCTGTTGTCTAAGTTGCGGTTTTGTTACTATGAAGAGACACTGTGACCAAGGCAACTCTTATAAAAGAAAGCGCTGACTTGGGGCTTGCTTACAGTTCTAGAGGTTAGCCCATGATCACCATGCTGGAAGGCCTAGTGCTGCAGCAATAGCTGAGAGCTTTAAGTCCCGACCTGTAATCAGCAGGCAGCGTGGCAGGAAGGAATGGGCCTGCAGTGTGTATTTGAAACCTCAAAGCCCATGATCAGCAACATGTCTCCTCCAATGAGGACACAACTCTTCCAAACAAGGACACACCTCCTAATCCTTCCAAACAGTTCATGGTCTGTGGAGAAAGCTTGCAAACATATGAGCCTATGAGGGGCATGCTCACTCAAACTACCACAGTTGTCGTTATTCTTAAGTGCTTTTTGAGTTGTTGAAAAGTCTGGACTTGTGTTTAAGACATCTCATGCACCCCTACAATAGGATTATCAAAATCAGGAAATCGCCACTAATGGAATGCTATCGCTTAATCCATATGCCCTATTCAAATTGCATTAGTCATTCTAGCTTGCTATCTGCTCTTAAAAAAAATCACTTAAAAAATTTAAAAAATATTTTTGATCATGTTTCTCCTCCCCCAATTCCTTCCAGACCTTCCCCCCCCCAAAAAAAAGGTGATGTGGCAATTCCCATACTGCCACCTAAGTCTCTTCTGCTGGAATCTTCCTGTCTTCCTCCCTGTTTCAAAAGATTGATACTTTGGAAAAGCATGTGCCATTTGCAAATGCTTCCTCAACTTCGGTTTATCTTAGGATTTCTCAGCGCTGTATCTTAAGTAAGCATACTGAAGGTGTGATATTGGCTTCATCTCAATGCATTTTCTAGGGAGACAAATGACGTCAACTTGTCCCATTATCTATAATATTAATCACATGAATATTTCTCCATTATAAAGTTGTCTTACTCTTTTATTACTAATAAGTGTCTAGCAGCTAGATATTTTGATTTTTTTCAATGTCCTATTCTCAAACTTTCATGGATCATTTTTGTCAACTGTTGATGATTTTTGCTGGCCAGGTAGTAAAAACATTTTGTATATTCCCATTATTTCATTAATTAGCATTTTATATTAAGGAAAAGTTTTTAGTTATACTTATTTTTGTGCTGTGTAATTTACACCCATACGAATTCATGCATTCTTGTTTTGTTTGATAGTTTATCACTACTTTTTGTTTGTCGGTTTTTGTTTTTGTTTTAAACGGGGTCTTATAAGGAGCTTCATTGCTGGCCTGGAACTCATAGAGGTCCGCCTGCCTCTACCTCCTAAATGCTGGAACTAAAAGAGTATGTCATCTTTTGTCATTACTTAAGATTCATTTCCTTTTTGTATTTTGATCACTAAACTGTCTTGGATTTATGCAACTGGATTTTAGTCTCTCTTTCATTGTCAGTTCTTCTCTGAATAGTTCTAGACTCTGGCAGAGCCAACGGATGAACATAATTGTGCTTTGTCTGCCTCAGGCTTTGGACCATCTATTCCAATGAGCACTGGATTCTTATAGTAAAGAAAGGAATTTACAAACCAAGCTTCATCATCTCTAGACTCTCTTCAGGAGCAGGGTTGAAAATAAATATAAATATATAAATATACAGACACATGCACAAATGGGTTTTTACCTACTTCACTGCTAAATAGCATTCCATTGTATACTTTCCCATAATGCATTCAGGCACTGTTCCATAAAATGTCATGTAGAATTGGGAAGGAAAGAGGGAGTGGGCTACAGCTGGGATACAAGTGAATGTATAAAATTAATTAAAAATAAAAATATTAATATAAAAAATGCCACATAGATTGTTCTGACACTTTTTGGTTGCAAATAATGCATTATCTCCTGCACATATATTTCCATATAACAGATTTACAGATATGTGTTCAAAGTAAATTTCTGGATGTAGGATTGACGATGAATAAATGCTTTAATAGAATTGTTCAGAGGAACATAACCAATAGAATATATACAGAACTGTAAGAGGGAATTTGTTAGATCGGCATATGTGGGGGCCAGCAGAGCAATGATCCACCAGAGACAAGAAGGCAGTTCTGTTCAACACGACTCAGTAGCCAGTGTTGGTTCAAACTTTAGGAATCTGACCCTAAGTGGTTTATTTTTTAATATTTAAGCACAGCAAACTTGGGTGAATTTTTCCTTCATGAAAATTAGCTCAATCCCATGTGCACAATGACAACAACAAACTCTTTGTAAAGTTTATGTGACACCTTCCATAAAGATGGGTTCTATTAATTGCCAAGCTCCTGATAGGGTCTAGGGGAAAATCCGATTTAGTCTTATCTACACAGAAAGCACAAAGGCACCAGGCTATTAACCTCATCCACTCTCAGCCTTCTGGGTGGAAAATAGGTTATCCATGTTCCCCCTTGTTCCCAGTGCTTATCTGTGGACACAAGGACCCCTGTACCTCCCACAGGCTCACATGATCAGAAACTGGACAGTCCCACAGCCTACATCTGTGGACTGAAAAGCCTGGGAAAACAGGAAACTGGAAGATTCAAAGAAACAGTGGGCAGTGATGCCACCCAAGTTTGCTACAGGAGGGCTGGAAGCTAAGTGGATAGTCTCCACTGCAGGAACAAACACAAAAGCTGAACATTCATGAGCCTGCTGTCCAAGGGATTGACAGCAGCAAGAACCTGTGCCTACTCTAGAAATGCGGAGGAAGGCAGGCCCAAGTTTCCCTCTCTTTTCACACTTGATGCTATGCGGACCTTAACCATAAGGCAGTACTGTCTACACTCACTGTGGATCTTCCTCCCTCAGCTGACTGAGCCACACATCAATCATCTCTGGAAGCACCTTCACAGACATACACGGAAATATGGTTTACCAGTTTTCTAGCATTTCCCAATCCAGTCAAGTTGACAACAAAAATTATCTAATTATCAAAATTATCAAATAACTAACTAGACTCCCATAATACCCTTCACCACTGGTTGTACTGATTTGTATTCCCACTAGCTACACAAACAGGTATTGGTTTCCACAGCATCTTGCCAAAAAATGCATTGGGGAAATTTTGCATTTTTGCTAGTCCCATTAGTGAAAACGGCATTTTGGTGTAACTTGTTGACCTGTTTTTGTTGTTCTTGTTGTTGACATGTTTTTATTAATAAGGTGAACGTATTGTTGCTGGGAGGGTTCTCCATTCTTTTCTTCATGGAAGAAAGGATGCAGTCAAAAGATTCTGAATGTAAAAGCTATTTGGAAAAGAAAAGCAAGCAAGTACTCCAGAGAAACTGGCGTGAGCTATTTCAGTGGAGCATACTACACAGTGGGTGCTGTGCTGTGAAATTCAAAGAAGCTTTCAAAGCAGCATATTTGTGGGTAAAATGACCTCCTTTCCCTCCCAAGTCATGGTGGACCAGATCTCCCTTTTCAGGCATTTCTTTCCGTGACCCTCCAGAAAAGGGTGTAGGGGTGACAAAACTGGAAAGTGAACAGCTGAGACGTTTTTTTGAGGACACAAGCACTTCTTCGGCGCAGGTGTGGTGGCTTAGCTTTTGGTACAATGGGAGAAATGTATCTGCAGCCTCAAGGATATTTGAACACAAAGGGGCTTCCTAAACCCAGCAGACAGCTATCACGACACAAGTTTGGTGTTCTTGGTTGCCTCAGAGCTAATTTATTTCTGACACGGGTCAAGGTGGCATTCATTACTGAACTCACGGCTGTCAACCAGTTAAAGCTTTTTAAAGTTTAAGTTTTGTACTGAAATCTGGTGCCTAGATTTTATAATAACCTTTCCAGCTATGAAAAACAAGAATGGGACTACCTCCCACCAGCCCCTTCTCCCAATGTCACTGCTCATGTCTATCTTCCACTCAATATTATCAGAATAGAAGCTTTCTAAAACATGCACATTTTTTGACCATTTAAAAAAGTATAGCATGTTATTAGGTCTTTCAGTGTCTAAAATAAATTTAATATGTATTTTTTATGGATATGTTCTAAAAAACACAGTTTTAAAACACTATGGATATACAATGAACAAAATCATTTCACAAAGTCTGTTCAGCATAACTATAGAACTGAAAGTGCAAGTGGGGTTTAAATCTCTTTAAGTGAGCATTGTTCTTCAAGGCTGAAACAATTTCACCAATTACAAATTCCTACAGATTTATCCAAATTAACACAAACATAGTTTAAGCAGATCTCATTTACAAGTTTCAATAGAATTGTCAAAATGTCATGCCAAGGATTTTAGAAATTGCTTTAGGTATGGAAGCTAAAAGAATGAAGGAAGGAATACTTTCAATATTTGGGGGAAAAAACATACAACTTTTCCTTGTTTTTTTCACAGTTATATATCTTCAGAATGATCTACCTTGCAGACAGCTCTGGGCAAGCAGAAGTTTTCTCTCAATGTGTGACACACTGCAGTTTTCTACAATGGTGGCATCAAGCCTTTTACAACCTTTTCACCTTCAGCTGCCTCTTCATTTTCCCTCTTCTCATCATGCTAATCTGCAATGCCAAAATTATCTTCACCCTCACGCGAGTCCTTCATCAAGATCCGCGCAGTAAGTATTCCTTAGATTCAATAACTGTAAAAAAAAAACAAAAAAAAACAAAAACAAAAACAAAATAACAGTATTTAAGCAATACTTAGACAGAGTGGTCGTGTATTTGATACCGTGGCAAGCAGTTCACAAATGTTAGGTCACTTATTAATTCACAGTCACACCTATACGCAAGTTATAGATGAGGTCTGTTAGCAACATCTCATGTTCTCATTTTTCATCATAGAATAAAAGAACAAAGGACAGATGGGAAGAGGCTCAGAAGTCTCCACACATCCTTAAAGATTTATGTACAGTTAATAGTCGGTGTAGCCACTTCACAAGGTGCCATTGGTCCTGTAAGCAACTGTACTATCTGGTTTTCTGTCACCTTGACACAAGCTAGAGTCATCAGAATGGAAGGAGCCTGAGTTGAGGAGCTGCTTCCATGAGATCCAGCTGTAAGGCTTTTTCTCAGTTTTGATCAACTGGGGAGGGTCCAGTCCATTGTGGGTGGTATCATCCCTGAGCTGGTTGACCTGGGTTCCATAAGAAAAAAAGACTGATCTGATCAAGCCAGAAGAAGCAAGTCCTTCATGGCTTCTGCATCAGCTCCTGCCTCCACATTCCTTCTCTGAGTGAGTTCCTGTCCTGACTTCCTTTGGTGATGAACAGTGATGTGGAAATATAAGCCGAATAAATCCTTTCTTCCCCAGTTTGCTTTTTTGGTCATTTAGTTACAGCAATAGAAACCCTAACTAAGATGGCAACCTTCATGAAATTCATCATGTCATTCAAAAAGAGGAGGTAGGGCACATGAAAGTAGAAATGGGACGAATTGGGGAAAAGAGGCAGAAGTGTGAAGGGAGCAAGAGAGCCATGGAGGAGGGGGTGAATATGATGCAAATATCATACACAAACATACAGTCACACACACACACATCATAATGAAGTTGTTGTGTATAATTAATACATGCAAATAAAAACATTTTTAAAGGAAAAAGATAATTACTTTATCAAAACTCAGGATAAGTACTGAAAACATATTCTACTGGGCTAACACAGCAAACATCTGATGTCTAGAATATAATAAACAATCAACTTCATATTTTAGTTGTATGAATACCTCCATTTTTCAAATCTTCCTTGGTTTAATTAAATTTTAATTTTAAGAATGTCCTACTCTTCATTCTTTCATACAGGAAAACTTGGTCTGAAAACATATTTCTTGGCTGAGAAAGTTTCATTATATAGCCCAGGCCAGCCTCCTGCCTTTGCTTCCTTGGTAGGAGTATTGCAAATGAGTACCCACACCTAGCTGGGGTGGGGTGGAAATATTTTTAAGTAAATCATTATTGGAACTATTTTTCTTATAACCAATAGGTAGAATCAATGGACCTTTCTTCCATTTTTATCATTTCGGTTTTGTGAGAAAGTTGACATTAAACACTTACACTTTTTCTCTGTTTTAATAGAACTACAGCTGAATCAATCCAAGAACAATATCCCAAGGGCACGGCTGAGAACTCTAAAGATGACAGTTGCATTTGCCACATCGTTTATTGTCTGCTGGACTCCCTACTATGTCCTAGGGATTTGGTACTGGTTTGACCCTGAAATGTTAAACAGGGTGTCAGAGCCAGTTAATCACTTCTTCTTTCTCTTTGCTTTTCTGAACCCATGCTTTGACCCACTTATATATGGATATTTCTCTTTGTAATTGGGAGACTACAGAAAACTAAAACGGAAACTAATTTTAACAGTTGAGCATAAGCTCAAAACTTGCAATTCAAGGACATGCAGGCAAGGCAGAGTTTAAGCTTAGGTTATGAACCTTGTTCTTGTAGAGAGTTTATTGTTGGGGCCTCGAAAGACCTTCAAAAAAAAAATACTAAAATTTATCCTTAATCATAAGCTCCTGAACTAACCTCTGCCTTGTCTGATGTTTTACCGAATGTGATTTGGGCTTCTTTTCACTTCCTCCTTAAATTATAATGTATAAACACTTAAAATAACCACATCCAAAGATTAAAAAGGTATCAAAACATAAGGCTGGTAAACTACAACATTCATAAGATGAGCATGGTTTGGGGAGTTTTTTTTTTTCTCAAAAGGGGGCTCAAGAGCAAAAGCAGAGTGAGGCTATCACAACACCTAGAGCACAGAAGCAGTAGAATCACCGTCCTTAGGTCAGCAGCAAAAACAACTGATACTGTCACAACACCTAAGCAGAGACAGTAGAATCACTGTCCACAGGTCAGTTTTAACTCCGATCAGAAAAAGACCTACTTTTCTTTTTTGCTTTAAAAACATTTTTAATTCCTATTAAGCAATAATAATAATAATAATAATAATAATAATAATAATATTTGCACAAGCCTGGAAAGATTATTTACATGATACAACTTAATCCTATTTAAATGCTGCAGTTAGTGACACACCACTATGTAATGGAGGTATTTTAAAGGGATAGTTTTTTTTTTTTTTTTCCCCATGGACACTTAGAATATTCCACAGACTGTACAATACATGAGGCTTATGTTAAACTGACTGCCATAAGTAGTGTTTTAATACAATTAAGAAAATGGATATACTAATTATCTTGTAAGCATAATATACAATCCATTTTAATAATACGGTAGAATTTTTGTCTATCTCCTTATCCTACTGAATTTCTCCCCACAAATAAATGAAGAAAGTCAATAAAAAACATCAAGCAACTATACAGACAAAAAGAGGAGGTTTGATATAAAAAAGAACTCAAGGGAGGAAACCATATAGTTTCCCCTTCTACAGATCAAAAACAACAGCAGAGAGTATTAGAGGGGAGAGAGGAAAACTAAAATCATAAATGTGGAAACAACACCTGCTGAAAAAAAAAGGATTCAGTCCTCAAACTATGTCTGTACAGTACAACATACTTCATTCAGCTCAGGTCAGGTCTGTCCTTTTCACGAAAAATGAAAGGAGGTGAAAATAAAATACAACACTCACTTACTTGGGAAGTATAAGTAGTTAAATTCAATAATTATCTAATAGATATTGATGTGAACTATGTAATGCCGTACAAAACATGAGAGTAATTTGCAAATATGCTAGGCTATGTGTGATTACAGAGAGCAAACTGCTGACCAACGGCAAGTCCCTTCTTTGCGTCCCTTTATTATTTTCTACTTTTGGTTTTACAGTATTGTTAGATATTTTTTCAGATTTTTGCTTATGTTCCAATATTCTCTCTCTTTTTTTATCTTCTGTGTTACTCATACTTTCAATTTAAAAATCACTGGGAGAAATTACTGATGGAGTTTATATTTCAATTGAGTGGAACTCAAAGTTTTCCATGTGCTGAAAAAAATGCTCAAAGTTTACACATGTACTCAAAACCAAGAAGGCTTAGATGACATAGTCTAAGTTATAACAATAACAAATTATACCAAGTATCTTCATAATATACTTACTCCTAAAATTACAATAGATCTTCTGGATTTAAAGCAAAAAATGATATATATGTACAAGGTAAACCTAAGGGCTTCATTGCATCTATGTTTAAAATATGTCTCCCAACTCGTTTCTTATGTGCTCAAGAAACACTTCTAGTCAGATATTGAATTGGGTATGTTAGAGATATATCTGTTATAAGGCTATCTGGATACAGAGGTCCTTAATTTATGTAGCCCATGAATAGAGTTATATGTCAATGTATTTTTGTTTGGTTTAGTCCTGTTTGTATTATTTTAGATATTTACTATTATTATTCAAAGAATTTACCAACTAAACCAGACTGCCAAAAATGTTGAATATTCCCAGCTTGATTTTCTACATGTGTGTGTCATAATTATTGTTATAAAATGTATCTGACTATATTTGTTTGTTCATATACATGTTCATATAAATGGATGCAAATGTGGATATTGAAACTGTGTCACTTCAGTATGCTGAGTCATTCTTTTAAACATCCAAACTTGCTTAAGATTCAGGAAGCAAGTCCTCAATGTCAATATTGTGATTTATACATATAATAAAAATATGGATTTAAACTAAATTGACAACAGAGTATTCCAAATCTGATATTATACTCATGTGTTGTATTATTATAGAAGATGAAGATTCTTTCTAAAAAGAAAATGTTCTGCAGAGTAAATCCAATATTTCAGATAATTAAGATTAAGTTCTATCTTGGTTCTTCTCTCTCTCTCTCTCTCTCTCTCTCTCTCTTTTTTTTTTTTTTTTTTGAGACAGGGTTTCTCTGATTAGCCCTAATTGCCCTGGAACTCACTCTGCAGACCAGGCCTCAAAGATTTGCTTGCCTCGGCCTTCCAAGTGCTGGGATGAAAGGCACATGCCATCTCTGCCCAGGTTTCTCTTTTGTTTAAATTACTGAACTTACTAAAAATTGTATTTCCTTAAGCAATTAAGTTTTTGAAGGCATTAAAGAGACTAAACAATAATTGAACAATGATTGCATCTATTCATTTTCAGATTTTAGAGAGAACAATATTTTGTAGGATGGAGTGGTAAGTATCCTAAACACTGTATTCCAAGGAGTATAAATAATAGAACTGAATTAGGGATTCTTTTATTGGGTCCATCTCATGACTTACACGGTCATCACAAAGAAATTACGTTTTAGGGCTGGGTGGTGATGGGGAATGTCCTTATTCCCAGCATTCAGGAGGCAGAGGCAGGGGGATCTCTGTGAGGACAGCCTGGTCTACAGAGTGAGTACCAGGACAGCCAAGGCTACACAGAAAAATCCTGTCTCAAAAAAAAAAAGAAAAGAAAAGAAAAGGAAAAAACAGAAATTACATTTAGACTAGTAAGACATTTTTAAAATTCATTTATTCTATCTATGCCCTGTATTTCTAAATTAGGTATCTTTATTTTATATATATAAATGTGTTGTCTGTATATCTGTGTACCATGTGTGTGCCTGGTACCTGTGGAAGTGAACACAGAGCATTAAATCCTCAGGAATTCATGTTGTCAGCTACCATGTGAGTACTGACACTCAAACCTTGGACCCCTGCAAGCGCAGCAAGTATTCTTAACCACCAATCTATCTCTGCAGGTCATTTGTGGACTAAATTTAAACATCTCAATGCTTACAGATTTAATTGCTAATGAAGAAAGAAAAAGATGAGAAATAAAATACAAGCCAACTTAATCTCTTTCTTACAAATAACTGAAAGAAATCAAGAATACAATAATTACTTTTATTTTGGATGTTGATAACAAATGCATGTTTAGAATCAACAGATATATGTGAACATTTTATGTAATTATTGAAGTATGATTTAATTTTTTTTCTTTCTTGTGTATGTCTATAGTTCCAAAATCCGAAAATAAACTTATACTGCTTCTATAATAGGAAGAAAACACAATAAATTGTGAAGTGATGAACTTTTTGTTGTTGTTGTTGTTGTTGTTTGAGACAGGGTTTCTCTGTGTAGCCTTGGCTGTTCTGGAGCTCACTTTGTAGACCAAGATGGACTTGAACTCACAGAGATCTACCTGCCTCTGCCTCCCTGAGTGCTGGGATTACAGATATGCACCACTGTGCCTTGCTTGTAAACAACTTTTATTCTATGCATCACTTTTTGCACTAAGATGTCTTCTGTTGTAAGGAAAAGAATATCAAAGCATTAAGGAAGGGTGAAATCTGGAAGCAAATGCACAAGGACTAAGCACAAGTTGAGACTAGCCTGAGCTACAGTGCTAGAACCTGTCTGATAAAGGGAGAAATTTAATATATTAAGAGCATTAATTATATAAAGTCTAGTACTAACTGTGGTCATCAGGTGCTAGAAAATCCTCAGCTAAAATTTTCTGACATGAATGTTTTTTATGTGCAGTGTATGGACATGTACTTTCTCAGATGTGTTTGTATACCAGAAGTGATACCTGGTGTCTTCCTCTACCACTTTCTGCTATATTTTTCTGAGACAGTCTCTCACTGAACCTTGATCCCATCAACTAGCCAGGTTGGATGGCCAGGAGGCCATGGGAATAGCATAAGGGTTAGGGATCTGAACTCAGCTTTTCTGCTTATATAGCAACTAATTTACCCACAGAGTCATCTTTCCAGCCTGACACTGACCTTTAATATTCCCAGAAATCTAATGTCACACAGTGAACTTTTCCATCTAAGCTAAATTTTCTTTTAATTCCTTACTCAAACTTTTTCTTATTTCTGTGTTGTACAGTGTCATTTACTCATATTTATTTTTCAACTCTCTAATGCTTATTAAGCCACTGACATAAATAGTACACAGCTGGCTAGTTAGAGGGCTAAAGCTATCCCAAGATAATTTGTCCCTAAACCTACAGCACCTCAACCTTCTCCATGTTCCACAAATTCTAACCAATCAATCAGCCTTCTAGAATTGTTAACACAGGTGTGTCCTATTTTCTAGGAACTTTAGTTGACACATACCCTAGAGTAAGAAAACCCTTTTAGCTAAAACCATAGATTTTCAAACACTTTGTTGATTTCCCCACAATAAGATGAATCCATTGTTTATTGTTATAATATCCAAAACACTTTGTCAAAGAGAAGTAGCTTCCACTTCCAACAAATACTAGAACCATAATCAAGAAATTTGTAAACTTATTTCACACCTATAATTGTAGTTTTCAAGGAAACAGTGTCCTTGGTCCATGATGTATTTAGTCCTAACATAGAACCTTTAATTAGAGCAGGATTTTTTTATATTTTTAATTCTTTATTAATTACACTTTATTTACTTTGTATCCCCCCTATGGTTCCCTCACTCCTCCCCGCCCAAAGCCTCCCCCCCCCCCCCCCCCCCCCCCCCCCCCCCCCCCCCCGTACGCATGCCCCTCCCCAAGTCCACTGATAGGTGAGGTCTTCTTTTCCTTCCTTCTGATCATAGTCAATTAGGTCGCATCAGGAGTGGCTGCTATTGTCTTCTTCTGTGGCCTGGTAAGGCTGCTCCCCCATTAAGGGGAGGTGATTAAAGAGCAGGTTAATCAGTTCGTGTCAGAGACAGTCCCTGTTCCCATTATTATGGAACCCACTTGGACACTGAGCTGCCATGGGCTGCATCTGTGCAGGGGTCCTAGGTTATCTCCATGCATGGTCCTTGGTTGGAGTATCAGTCTCAGGAAAGACCCCTGTGTAGAGCAGGCTTTTTTAGGGGGTAGTTGTTTGGTTTTCAGCCTATCAAAATGCTACTTCACATTAATGTCTCCTAAACTTTATGCTTCCCTAAAGCCCTACAACAAATATGTCTCGACTCGTTGTTAAGGCAATCCATGGGTTCCTCTGGGAAGTTCATTCCCTCCTTGGAATAAGCTGCTCACACTGCCTCTAGCAACTCAGGTCTTTCTGGTGGATTTGTACTTCCTGAACTCGGGGGTTCTGGCTTGCACTAATGGTTCAAGGACAAAAATGTTGCAGATAAATGAGCAACAGAGTATCAAGTTCAAAAGGGTTGGGGACTGGAACAAAGAGTATAATATCATCATCACAGACAATGAAAACATTGCTGAAAGAGATGCCTCAAACTCAGAAATGGCAAGATCAAGGTTGGGGAAATTAATAATCAAGAATGAAGAAGGAACACAAAAGCCAACACATACAATGGATCATGAGCCTGTTCCCAAGGAAAGGTTTATTTAGTTACTTTGTCTGTCAAGATACTAATATGTATGAATCATACAGAGGATAGTCTTACCAATTTTTGGTGTCAAGTGTTGGTAACAGTTTTTACTATTTGAACATGAGCCTTAATTTTTCTGGGTATAAAATAATTGCCTTATACATTCTTCCTTTAATATTCTAAATATACTATTATACTTTCTTGTGGCATAAAACCTGTCAAAATGTCTGGTGATAATCTATTTTTCCCCAATGTATAAACATGGCAAAACATGAAAAAAAACCTGTTAAGATATGAATCACCATTTTGTTGTATGTTTGAAATAATTTATATAATATTTCATTAAATACAAGATGTCTGCTTTCCGGGTTTGGGTGGTAACTACACTTCAAGCCTGTGTGTTAAAGTATTTGACTAAAATCCATGGTAGGGTAGGGGGACAGTAGAACCTTTAAGACTGTGTTCTCAACCTTCCTAATGCTTTGACCCTTTTACACAGCTCCTCATGTTGTTGTGACTTCTAATCATAAAATCATTTTTGTCGCTACTTCATAACTTTAATTTTGCTGCTGTAATGAATTGTAAATATTTGTTTTCTTTAATTAAAGGGAAGGAAAAATTAGGAGCATGTATGCATGTGTCCAAAAAAAAAAAACCTTTTATAATAAAAAGACATATATATATATAGTGCTAGAGCAGAACTATGAAAGAATTAGACATAATCCTAGTTTATTTTAATGGAATGGTAAAAAAAGGTCCACAATGGGATTGAAAAAAAAAATGCCTATCCTACAAGATGAAACCAGGATGCAACAGATAGTCAACAAAAGCTTCCAAGCTTTTTGAGAATATCAGTTTTAGAAACAGCATGGAGGGGATGGACACACGGGATAATGCAGGATTGTCAAGATACTCCTCTCAAAATAGAATTTGAAGTAAAAATATCATACTTTACAGAACGTTGTATTGTATGTATAAATAAATGCTAATTTTTAAAATTGGGCTTATGTTTCTTCAGATATACGACTGATTCTATTCTTAATTGTTTTGTGTCCACACAATTGTTTTCTAAAAATGGTAAAGAGAGTCAATGAAACAAGAATTCAATGAGAAATAGACACAAGAGCTAGTAATCTTGGCATGGCTTTATGTCTTTGACTAAATCATTAACTGTTAAGTTCCTTTTCTTCTTCCATAAAATGAAAGTGGCAAATTTTACAGCTCTAAAGAGTCACTTGACCTGGTAAGGCTGCTCCCCCCTCAGGGGGAAGTGATCAACGAGCAGGCCAATCAGATTGCAGCCACTTTTGATGAGAACTGATAGACTAAGATCAGAAAGAAGGAGAGGAGGACCTCCCCTATCAGTGGACTTGGGGAGTGGCATGCATGCAGAAAGGGGAGGGAGGGTGGGATCGGCAGGGGAGGAGGGAGGGGCTTATGGGGGGATACAAAATGAATAAAGTGTAATTAATAAAAAAAAATAAAAGATTAAAAAAAAAAAAGTCACTTGAGTACAGAAATCTGTACCCGCGTCTCATACGTAGTTGAGCCTCAAAACTATTTAAACAGAATCTTTAAGTGGAATCCCAGCCCAGATACGCCTTTGTTGTTGTTCGGAAAATAATCTCCTCTAGGTGATGTAATACTCTAGGATTTGCAAGGTAAACTCCGTCTGCAGGCGGCTGTGGAGTGGTAACTTCAGTGTTTAGGTTCCGCACTTGGCCCTCCTCACTTAGCCACTCCCCTCACCTGCCCAAACCGGAAGTCCGGTGTCCCTGGGGCTGACCGGAAACACTGCCCTGGGCGCACTTCCCCAGCCCCGCCCCTGCTGACGTCGTCGCCCGCCCCTTGACCCTCGCGGCCCCTCCTCCTCTCCTACCTCCCTCCTCAGCGTCGGAAGGCGATGGAGCGCTCCGAGCCGTTGACTGTGCGTCCCCGGGAAGAGGCGTCGTGCTCCTCCTGGGGAGCCTGCAGGTGAGAGGCCTGGCCCCGGGCGGGCTTGGCGGGAAGGAGCGCAGGAACGCCGGCGCGGGCTCGCTCGGGCGCGTCAGAGCGCGCAGAGGCCACGGGGCCCCGCGGAGCGCCCGCGAGCGAGCCGGCGAGCGGGCGGTGGGTGTGGCGACGTGGGAGCTGGCCTCGCAGCTCGCGCTCCGCCGAGGAGACTCGCTCTTGCCGGGTCTTCGCTGTTCCAGGAGGGCTTTAGCGTTCTTCGCTCAGGTCAGCACTTCTGACGGGCCTGGTCGGGGCAGAGTTGTGGCCCCTGTTGCCTGGGCCACTGTGCACTGTCCTCCGGCCGTGCTCCTCGGAAATCTGTTACTTGAGGGCACAAATCAGGATGAATCTGTTGCAGTCTGGACCCCCGAGCACCGCGCTGTTGGGGACAGGGGTGCTGAGGCGCGGGGAGGAGCCCACGGCTCCTGTGATGATTTCCCACTGAGGGTCTTGTAGCTTTTCTTACCCAGCCTGGAAAATTAAGGGGGTGGGATCCTGGTATACTCTTCACCTGTGTTTGGGTCCGTTCTCTTTCAGTCATCGTAGAATTAATAAAGCCCAACTTGTATCTGGCCCGGTATAAGAATACTTTATACCAAATATAGAAGTGATGGATTTATTATGTTCATTTAATATAATCTCTTAGCTTTTTACAGTGCATATTGAAACGAATACTTCAAGTACTAGGTTTAAGTGATATTAATAGTATTGTCTGCCCAGGCCAAATGCTGCTAAAAACGACTTGAGAAGTATTATTTAATACAAAGAACCACCCCTTAGTTGGAGCATTGTAATCGTCTCACAGATGACATTATTTTATCATCATTATTATTATTTATACAGTTTTATTGCCAGAATAGTAATGTGCTGATTTTATTAGCAGGATAATGTCTGAGAGTGCAGTTACTGTCTGGTCGCTCTAAAACATCAACAGTAAACATTGCCCATAGCAGCAGTTGGTGAAATTAGCTTCACATTAAAAAAAAAAAAAAAACTAAGGAAAATGATACCTAATAAAACATACATTTGGTATATAAGGATCTTTAGTAACTGGTCTTATGGAGTATGAATGTTTAAAAGCCATAATAAAAAGTTTATTTTTTCCTCTGTAGTGCAAGTAAAAATTTACCTACCATGTCATCAGAATCTGTGGAAATCGATGATGGATTATACAGGTAAGAACCTCAGAGACTGAAACCCACATTTTCTGATTGTTAGTAGAGAATCTCATAGTCTGAAGACTGTGCCCTTGCAGAATATTGTATGGATATCCTACAAGTTCCTTTCAAATTAAAATTGGGATTTTTGTAGGTTTTTCTCATACTATATGTAGTATGAAAGTTTTAATATGTAATAAGCCCCAGGGATTTTTAGATTTAAATGGTAGGTGTAAGAAATATTTTATTGTCCAATATGAAAGTAAATGCCTTGACTTTAGACAAGAGGCTTTACTAATGTTCTTAGTAGTATAGGAGTTTCTTTGGTTACTTCAGTTATGCTTTCAAATTTGGAGGAAAATTATTTCAGTCAAGTCTCAAGAAAATACAATACATAGATACAGGAGAAATATTATGTAACTGAGAGTTATAATCTCTTGGCTCCTTCTCATTCTCTTGTTCATTCGGTCTTCACCTGAGCTCTCTCTGCAACCCCTCTTTCTGTTATTGTCCCAATAAAACTGCCTCCCCTCTCTCTCTCTCATTGCTAGTTAAGTAGTTTTCCTTTCTCTTTCTTCTCATGAGAGTGGGTATATCCTAGCCTATCAAGTCTTTCTCTGGTTTTTCACTATGAAAGCCACTCAATTAGACATCATTTTCAAACATGGGTGCTTCCTTCTGCAAACTATCTTTACCTCCATTGTTTGGGATTAAAGGTGTCTACCACTGTGCCTGGACCTAAGCTTTTCTTTACCTGAAATTTGCTCTATACCAGGCTGGCCTTGAACTCAGAGATCTGCTTGCCTGTCTCCTAGGATTAAAAATATGTTTGTATTCCAGCTGGATTGGATGTGCTCTCTTGCCAGAGCAGCCATGTTCTGATTAAAAATTTCTCTACATTTGTGGTTATTAATGTGGTAATTTTAAAGTTGGTAAAGACTCTCCTTCTGATAGTACTGAGAGTACTATAATCTGTGCGATAACTGTTTAAAGAAATATGCAAAGCAGATGCATTGATATTTCTAACTTAGCAATTGTGAGAGTCAGAGAATTTAGTGACTTTTTGAGATCTCTGGGAAACTAAAAGATACATTGGTATTGAATTGTTGTTCCTAACATCTTAGGACTGGATAACAAAGACAAAGGATGAATTCAGATTAAATTCTCAGCTTCGGGTGTATATAACCAGTCTCTCAGGGCTGGAGAAATGGTTAGTGAGTACAGGCACGTGCCACCAAGCCTGACAACTTGAGTTTGGTCCACAAGACCCACATGATGAAAGAGAGTACAAACTCTACAGAAGTCCTTGGACTTGTACACACAACCTTTGACATATACAGAGGTATTCAAACACGTACACTAGATTTTCCGTGTAAAAACCTGTCCTCCATATTGAGAGGACTGGAAGAATTGTCTACCAGTACTTTAAGCAACATGTTTGTGAAGGGAGAGTATCATCATCCATGAAGAGCTCTGTCGTGTCTCTACATGCCAAACAGTAGTACAGTGGGAATGCTGTACTTGACTGGGAACTTAAATGCAATGAGACCTTGGATTGGAAGGATCATCATCCTACAGGCAGCTTCTAACAGAGCAATGCTCAAAGCTGTTAGGATGAAGCTTAAGCTCCAGTGAATGACCTGGGACCAGAACATGAAATGTGTGTTCAGGAAAGCTGCAGGCAGTATGCAGAGGCAACAGAGAGGGCACGTAGTTGCAGCCAGAAAGGCCTTAAGGGCAGTGCATATGGCAATTATGATAACATGTGCAGCAGATGCCAGACAAAGAACTGAGTAAACAGTTTTAATGTTTACCCTGCTGAGTTTTTGTGTGTCTTTGATTCTGTCCTTCCTTTCTCTATCCATATTAGGTGAGAATACTTTGCTGATTTATCTTAGAAGTATGTAACTTGGTTTTTTTATACTACAGCTCATAGTTAAGAGTTTGCCTTTAGTCTCAGAATATGTTGTGGACTTTCGATACTGTTGCGATATTGGGACTGTTAAGAATGTGAGGATAAGGCATAATGAAATGTCTATACACACTCCTGTAAACCAGCTTGTTTCCCAACTGGTTTTGGTATTTTCCTCTCTACCATGGGTTCCAGGGATAAAACTCAAGGCTTCTGGCTTGTACATAGTACTGTACTTGCTAAGCCATCTCTCTTGCCCTGCTTTTTACTTTTTACTTCATTGAGTATAATTATTATTAGTTTGATACAATAATATATGTTAAAGTAGTACCATTTCTAGTGTATAAAACTACAAATTTCTTATTGGAATATTTGTGCAATCATTGTTTTACATTTAGTTCTATGCGTGTTATAAATTTACTGTATCGTTGTTGTGACTTAAACAGTTAAAAATGTTTAAAATTTAAAATATTTATCCCTATTTTCTCATTTCTCACATTCTTCATGCTTTTCTGTAAATTCAGCTTATTTTTTTTGTTTTTAATTTTTTTAATATTAATCACAGTTTATTTACTTTGTATCCCAGCCATAGCTCCCTCCCACATTCCCTCCCAATCCCACTCTCCCTCCCTCATCTCCTCCCTATCCCTTTCCAAGTCCACTGCTAGGGGAGGTCCTCCTCCCCTTCCATCTGACCCTAGCTTGTCGGATGTCTTCAGGACTGGCTGCAATGTCCTCCTCTGTGGCCTAGCAAGGCTGTTCCTTGGGGCAGGGGGCGGGGGAGAAAAGGGGGGGAGTAAAGGAGCCAGTCGTTGAGTTCATGTCAGAAATAGTTCCTGTTCCCCTTACTAGGGCACCCACTTGGATACTGAGGTACCATGGGCTACCTCCGAGCAGGGATTCTAGGTTATATCCATACATAGTCCTTGGTTGGAGAAACAGTCTCATAGAGATTCCCTGTGCCCTGATATATTTTGTCCTTGTGGAGCTCCTGTCCTCTTCAGGTCATACTAACCCCCCCCTTTATCATATGATTCTCTGCACTCTGCCAAAGGTTTGTTTATGAGTCTCAGCATCTACTTTGATACACTGCTAGGTAGAGTCTTTCAGAGGCCCTCTGCGGTAGGTTCCTGTTCTGCCTGCTTGTGTTACTTAACATTTCTTACATTAAAGTCTTTTAGCAGCAACTAAGTTTTGGGGAGTTTATGCATTTGAAAAGGTCTTTATTTCACTTTTTATTTTGAGAAATATTTTTGCTGAGTATGGAATTTCAGGTCATTGTTTTAGTGCTATTTTTTTTTTTACTTTCTGTACTTCTAAAAGTACTGTTTCTGATTCCCTGGGAGAAAGACAAATGGTAGGTACTCTTACCTTTTCCCCTTATATAATGTTCCATTATCTTTAGGGACTTAAGATTTTTATCTCCTTTCTGAGGTATGTGATATGCCATCGTACAGTTTTCCTTATATTTCTTGTTTGGAAATTGTTCACTTTGTAGTATCTGAGTTAGTACTCCTGGAAAAAATTTGACCATTAATAAGTCATACCTTTTTCTTCCCTCCTGTTCATATTTTGTTTTAGGAATTCCAATTTCACATGGATTAGTCAAAATGAAGTACCAAAACTTTCTCGGGCTGTATTTGTTTTCATGTTTGGAAGTTCTGTTGCTGAACTTCCAGTTGTCTTGGTAATCTTAGATCTGTTGTTAGTTCTGTCCAGTCTATTTTTATCTTAGATTTGTAGTTCTATTCTCTGAAGGTTTTTTGTTTCCCTCCACCTTCTTGAGCAATGAATTATATTATAATTTCTTTTAGTTCAAGCATCTTTGTTATTCCTGAATGTGCACCTGTTGGTTACATTTAGTTCATTGTGGGTTGTATTTCCCTACTTCTGTGTACCTGGTAACTTTTTTATTGATGTCAGACCTTGTGCATTTTACATGTTTGAATGCTGGATTAATTTTAGATTCCTAAAATATTCTTTAGTGTTCTTAAGAAACACATTTAAGTTACCTGGAAACAGTGTGTTCCTTTCCTGGCTTGCTTTTAAGCTTAAGACCAAAAGAATCTTCAGTTAATTGGAGCAAAATTTTCTTTGCTATTTAATATTATTTTTTAATGCCCTTTATATTGCGAGGTATTTTATGCTTAACTTTAGTTATTTTGTGCTTAGCTTTAGCAAAACACAAAATTTTATGGACCTCTATTTTAATAGCAGTAGGCTGTTTGTTCCCTTTGCCCTTTGAGGTGATTCTTCCAGCCTTACAGTTTTCTTCATGTGTTTGCTAATCTGTACTCAAATTAATTTAAGTTGGAGAAACTTGCCAATTGTGGACCTCTACTTTAAAAATCCTAACTTTCTCTTATGTCATTAACTTTTAAAAGCTCTCTTCAGGACTGGCTGCAAAGTCCTCTGAAGATACCTGATTAAACAGGGTCAGATGAAAGGGGAGGAGGTCCCCCCTATCAGTGGACTTGGAAAGGGGCAGGGAGGAGATGAAGGAGGAAGGGAAGGTTTGGGAGGGAATGAGGGAGCAGGATACAGCTGGGATACAGAGGTAATAAAATGTAACTAATAAAAAAGAAAGAGAAAGAAAGAAAAGAAAGAAAGCTCTCTTTCTCTTTCTCTCTGTCTCTCTGTCTGGGTGTGTATGTACCAGTGTGCTCATTCCGTGGTGTATTTATTCTATGGCATGTGTATGGAGGTCAGAGTACAAATAGAGATAATTGGTTTTCTCCTTCTACCCTGTGGGTCTCAGGGATTGAACTCAGGTTGTCAGATTTGCTGACAGGTGCCTTTATCTTTACCTGGTGAACCATCTTCTGTCCTAATTCTAGCTTCTTAAATTTATAGCTCTTTAATTTAGGGAGACCACCAGAATCCAGTTGCATTTCTTTCTTCTGTTACAAACCAGAAATTCTTCATTTTACATATAAAATATAGGTGAGGCCAGACTGATTTATATAGCTACACAGTGAGAGCTACATAGTGAGAACCCACCTTAAAAGAAAAAAAGATAGATAAACAGACAAATGGGCAGATACCACTACTTTAATTGCCCAGTATCAGACCAGTGACCTGAGGCAGGAGCTGCTGGGGGATGATGAGAGCTGACTCTGAGAGGCAGCCTTCATTGAGTAGCTTATTGAATTGGAGTGGTGAACAAAAGCTATTTAAACATTTGCAAGTGGGTAGAAGCTTTCAGGTTGAGTGTATATTATTGGCTGGGGCTAAGGTGCTGGGAATGCCTTATTTGCATTAAGTGCAAGTGCTTGCTGGACATGACCTTACAAGGAGTAGAAGTTTAACCTGGATAGGACTTCGTGACCACCTCTAGTGTAGGCAAAGGTCGGGGCCCAGGACTAAGTGCATGGCTGGAACCTATGGAGGTTGGAAGAGGGCATCAGATCCCCCTGGATTTGGAGTTAATTTGGTTGTGAATCACTACGTGGGTGTCCAGAATCAAATCCAGTTTTCTCTGTTAAAGTAACAAAGTGCTCTTAAACTATTGAGGCGTTTCTTCAGCCTCCAGGAATATTGTTGTTAAAAAATACTGTGGACACGTAGTGAAGATCATTGAAGTGCATCCAGAAGAAAATGTTTAGAATATTGAGAGGTACTGGGAATGATTTTTGTGTTAGAAATTACAGAATTGGCGGTGTTAAGGGAGAAGATGCTGAATTGTGAATACAATCTACAGATCTTTATCTGTAAAGAGGGATTAGATGAGTTTTGCATAGCTTCAAGGAAGTACAGTTAAGATTACTACATTAAAATATCACTTTACCAGAGGTAGAAATTTTAGTAGCTAGGACTTTCTTAATGTAATCTGCCTTGGTGATTTCTTTTTACTGATCATATTCAGTACTGTGTGGCATGGCCACTTAATAATGTCGTCAGAATAATAGGTCAGAAAAACTGAAAATCACTGACCATTACATTAATCAAGATGAATAAATCTCATAAATGTAGACCAGTGAGATTGCTCAGTGGGTAAGAGCACATACTGCTCTTGCAGAATACCAGACCTCAGTTTCTAGCACCCACATCAGGCAGCTCATGAAACTCCTGTAACCCCAGTTCTGGGGTATCTGATAACTTCTTCTAGCCCTTGTGAGCACCCTACAGATCCCACAGTACATTATAAATAAACCATGTTAATGTGCAAGAGGGAAATCTCAAGGGGTCCCAACCCTAGACAAAAAGCTATAGGCAGCTAAGGAATGCTGAGAGTGGGAGGAAAGTCCCCCAGTTGGCTATTTAATTATAAGTGGTCATAACATTATTCATATGCTGAGCAGTGTGTTTGTGTGTGTAACAACAATTAAAAAGCTGCCAGAGGCTATTAATTTGCAAGAGAGCAAAGTATAGGGAGAAGCTGGGCCATAAGGAAGAGATGGGAAGGAAAAAAATGATGTAATAATCTTTGATTTCAAAAATAAAACTTTAAAGTGAAAAAACAATCTCAGAGGAAAAGCTCCATTGTAATTTATTCAAAGAAACAAAGACATTCAAAATGGTCTAACTCATAAAGTTGAAAGCAGGGCAAACACAGTTAACCAAAATTAATAGAAGGAGATGCATAGTTTTTACTTCTGAAACCCAAGTTTTAAATACTAATTGAAAAACAAAATTTCAGGCTTTAGGCTGGGTATACAACCCAGTTGGTTGATTGCTCTCTTTATCTGAGTCAGTCCAGTCCCCAGTACTGCAAGTAAAACAACTTGCCTACCTACCAAAAGTTCCGGTTTTATTCTCTTTTTTTTTTTTTTTAGGTAACAAAGAAGAGAATTATAAAGATACAGTATTGATCTAACTAAACAACATTTCTAGGCTTTTGAAATGCTAAAATATGCAAATTATTTTGATATACATGTATCAGTATTTTAATTTCAGAAATAAATACTACCAAAGCATTGATAAAACTATTTGTGCTTACACCAAACTTTTATATCTGATTCTTATAAGAATTTATTGGTTTTTTTATTATCTACAAGCTCTGCTATATTATTGTTTCCTGTTAACTCTCTCAGATAAATTGTTCAGTTGGTTAACTAAGTACTGTACAGATCATCTAACACAATTCTGCATGGACTCGAGTGTTGTGGCTTTTAGTTTGCAAAACTTTAAGGCATATTTTATTTGATGAAATAATTATTTTGTTTTTCATTGTGTTTAACATATAGTCGACAGAGATACGTTCTTGGTGACACAGCAATGCAGAAGATGGCCAAGTCTCATGTCTTCTTAAGTGGTATGGGTGGGCTTGGAGTGGAAATTGGTAAGCAGTGTTTTGTTTTGTTTTGTTTTTCCATAATTTCTGTGACACTTTTGAGCTACATAAGATAAAGATTATTACTCTTCTCTTACTTTCTTTAAAGGAAATTAGATTCAAAATGCTGATCAGATTTGTTGACAAAATAGTTTGTAGCACAGGTATGGTCTTCCACAAAAAAAAAAAAAAAGGCCTTTCACTTGCTTGTTCCTTTTATTTAGTTTTGTTTAGAGTCTCACTATGTAACCCTAGCTGTTTGGAACTTACTATGTAAACCACACTGGTCTTGAATTCATGAAGGTCCATCTGCCTTTGCCTCCTTAGTGCTGGGGTTAAAGGCTTATGCCACTATATCTAGCTTAATGATCATTCTTACTTCATTATGGTTACATATAGTATATTCATTAAAACACTGAAAAATGAATAGTATATGGTATAATTATGCAAAATTGTATCAATTCATTTTTTCTACATGTATTTTCTTTCTTAAACAAATTTTAAAAAGTTATAGTTACTCAGAAATGTGATGGCGCTCCATGAAGTGTATTTGGTATGAATTTGCAATGATAAGTTATTCCTTTTTCTTTTTCCTTTGTAGCAAAGAATCTTGTTCTTGCAGGGATTAAGGTGAGTATATATCCATAGTATGAAAAGTTGTTTGTTATGAACTGTTTTGTTTCTCCTGATTTGTAGTAATTCTGTACTTTGTCTTATTCTTTTTTTAAAATTTTTTATTTAACTTTTATTAATTACACTTTATTCATTTTGTATCCCCCCATAACCCCCCTACCCTCCCGATCCCACCCTCCCTCCCCTTTCTGCATGCACGCCCCTCCCCAAGTCCACTGATAGGGAAGGTCCTCCTTGCCTTCTTTCTGATCTTAGTCTATCAGTTCTCATCAGAAGTGGCTGCATTGTCACCTTCTGTGGCCTGGTAAGGCTGCTCCCCCCTCAGGGGGAGGTGATCAAAGAGCAGGCCAATCAGATTATGTCAGAGGCAGTCCCTCTTCCCATTACTATGTAACCCACTTGGACACTGAACTGCCATGGGCTACACCTGTTCAGGGCTTCCAGGTCATCTCCACGAATAGTCCTTGGTTGGAGTATGAGTCTCTGGGAAGTTCCCTGTGTTCAAATTATCTTGTTCTGTTGCTCTCCTTATGGAGTTCCCATCCCCTCCAGCTCTTACTATTTCCCACTTCTTACATAGAATTCCATTCACTCTGCCCATCAGTTGGCTATCAGGCTCAGCATCTGCTTTGACAGTCTATACTGCAGAAGCTTTCAGAGGCTCTTTGTGGCAGGTTTCAAGGTTGTTTCCTGTTTTCTTCTGGCTTTCAGAGGCCCTCTGTAGCAGGTTCCGAGGTTGTTTCCTATTTTCTTTTTCTTCTGATGTCCATCCTCTTTGCCTTTCAGGATGGGGATTGAACATTTTAGTTAGGGTCCTCTCTTTTGCTTAGTTTGTTTAGATGTACAGATTTTAGCGGGTTTATCCTATGTTGTATGTTTATATGAGTGAGTATATACCATGTGTGTCTTTTTGCTTCCGGGACAACTCACTCAGGATGATCCTTTCCAGGTCCCACCATTTACCTGCAAATTTCATGATTTCCTTATTTTTCATTGCTGAGTAATACTCCATTGTATAGATGTACCACAATTTCTGCATCCATTCTTCAGTTGATGGGCATCTGGGTTGTTTCCAGCTTCTGGCTATTACAAATAAAGCTGCTACAAACATGGTTGAGCAAATGTCCTTTTTGTGTACTTGAGTCTCTTTTGGATATATGCCTAGTAGTGGTATGGCTGGATCTTGAGGAAGCACTATTTCTACTTGTCTGAGAAAGCGCCAGATTGATTTCCAGAGTGGTTGTACAAGTTTACATTCCCACCAGCAGTGGAGGAGGGTTCCCCTTTCTCCACAACTCTCCAGCATGTGTTGTCAGTTGAGTTTTGATCTTAGTCATTCTGATGGGTGTAAGTTGAAATCGCAGGGTCCTTTTTACTTGCAGTTCCCTAATGGTTAATGAGGTTGAGCATTTCTTTAAATGCTTCTCTGCCATTCGATATTCCTGTACAGAGAGTTCTCTGTTTAGCTCTGTTCTCCATTTTTAAGTGGATTACTTGGTTTGCTGCTTTTCAGCTTCTTTAGTTTTTTATATATACTGGATATGAGTCCTCTGTCAGATAAAGGGTTGGTGAAGATTCTTTCCCAATCTGTAGGCAGTCGCTTTGTTTTGATGACGGTGTCCTTTGCTTTACAGAAGCTTTTAAGTTTCATGTGGTCCCATTTATTGATTGTTGCTCTTAGAGCCTGTGCTGTTGGTGTTCTGTTCAGGAAGTTTTCTCCTGTACCAATGAGTTCTAGGGTATTCCCCACCTTTTTTTCTAGCCGATTTAATGTGTCTGGTTTTATGTTGAGGTCTTTGATCCCCTTGGACTTCAGTTTTGTGCAGGGTGATAAGTATGGATCTATTTTCATTTTTCTACATGTAGACATCCAGTTGGACCAGCACCATTTGTTGAAAATGCTATCTTTTTTCCATTGTATGGTTTTGGCATCTTTGTCAAAAATCAGGTATTCGTAAGTGTGTGGGTTTATTTTTGGGTCTTCTGTTCGGTTCCATTGATTCACCATTCTGTTTCTATGCCAGTACCATGCAGTTTTTATAACTGTTGCTCTATAGTACAGCTTGAGATCAGGGATGGAGATACCTCCAGAAGATCTTTTATTGTAGAGGATATTTTTAGCAATTCTGGGTTTCTTGTTTTTCCATACGAAGTTGAGAATTTTTCTTTCCAGGTCTGTAAAGAATTATGTTGGCAATTTGATGGGAATTGCATTAAATCTGTAGATTGCTTTTGGTAAGATGGCCATTTTTACTATGCTAATCCTGCCAAGCCATGAGCATGGGAGATCTTTCCATCTTCTCATATCTTCTTCTAATTCTTTCTTCAGAGACTTGAAATTTTTTTCATACAAGTCTTTGACTTGCTTGGTTAGGGTCACCCCAAGGTACTTTATGTCATTTGTGGCTATTGTGAATGGTGTTGTTTCTCTAATTTCTTTCTCAGCCCTTTTGTCTTTTGTATACAGGAGTGCTACTGATTTTTTTGAGTTAATTTTGTATCCGGCCACTTTGCTGAAGGTGTTTATCAGCTGTAGGAGTTCCCTGGTAGAGTTTTTGGGGTCACTCATGTATACTATCATATCATCTACAAATAGTGATAATTTGACTTCTTCCTTTCCCATCTGTATCCCCTTGATCTCCTTCAACTGTTTTATTGCTTTAGCAAGGACTTCCAGCACTATGTTGAAGAGATATGGAGAGAGTGGGCAGCCTTGTCTTGTCCCTGATTTCAGTGGGATTGCTTTAAGTTTCTCTCCATTCAGTTTGATGTTGGCTATAGTCTTGCTGTAATATCGCCTTTACTATGTTTAGGTATGTGCCTTGTATCCCTGATCTCTCCAATACTTTAAACATGAATGGATGTTAGATTTTGTCAAATGCTTTTTCAGCATCTAAGGAGATGATCATGTGGTTTTTCTCCTTCAGTTTGTTTATGTGGTGGATCACATTGATGGATTTCCGTATATTGAACCACTCCTGCATTCATATTTTATATAACAGAATCATTAATGCTTTATTACTCTTTTTTTAAATTTATTGAAAACTTAAACATAAAAAGTCACCTAAAACATTCCTCATAACCAATCACACAGCTTCAGTTACCAACTCAAAACATGTCGTATGTTTCATTTATTTGCTTCTCATTCCCATTGGCTACAACTGGTAAATTCTTTTAATAAGAACTTCAGATGTTTTATTCTACTTAAATATTTTAGTATATATCCTTAATATAACCACAGTGTAGTATGATTTTAACACCTTAAAATGTATTAATTTCTTTATGTTTTTGTACTAGTTTTTATTATTATAAAATCATTTACTCCAAAATTTAACAGCATCATTTATTATGTCCAGTTTCATGGGCAACAATTTTAGCCTAGTCTGATAGGATCTTTCCAAGTTGCAGGCAGTATTTGTAGGCTCCACAGTCATCTTGAGGGTAGCTTGTCAAAGAATTTGTTTGCAAAGCTCATATTTGGTTGTAGCCAGCTTTGTTTTTTTGTGGACTTTGGACCAGAAATTACTCTGAGTTTCCAGGTATATGCCTGTCTCCATAGTGCTGCTGACAGCATGAGAGCTGGCTTCATCAAGCACTAAACAAGAGGAACTACACTATCCCATAATCAAGAGGAGGGGATTACCCTAAAGACTAAATATGACGAAGTGTGTGGTGTTATTGCTGCCCTGAAAGCTGCCAGCATGAACACAAAATGCCCAGTTGACAGTTCAGCTGTGTTTCTTGAAAAATCTTTTTTTAAAGTTTATTTTGTTCTATTCAGGAGCCAAGGAGAATCTGTATACTGCAACTTTTTCTTTTATTCTCTAGATTTTCCTTCTCTTCACTTTAACAAAATTTATTTAGTGAAGAAAATAGTCATATTGTGACATATATACATGTCTAACTCCAACACTTTGAAGTTAAGAGGGAAGAAGACCTGCAGATTGAAGACCAAGCTGGTTCTAGTCTGCATAGTGAGTTCCAGACCAGCCAGAGCTACAAAATAAGACCTATCCCAATAAAACAAAAAGGATGAAAAATAACATTTGTTGCATATACTTGTGTCTTGTATTTTCCTATAAACTGATAGTCCTATCCAGAATCAAATTGAGATTTGGTTTCTTTTGCAAGACTATGGTATACTGCGTTCTACCAGGAGACGATAACATTCTATTTTTCTCTTCTTTATTATTATTTTAGACATAAATCATCATTGCCTAGATTCATTATTTCATTTATTATAGTTGTTATTACCTCCTCATTTAGTAGTTGTAATAATATTTTGGAAAGAAAAATTTCTCTTCATTGATCACTGATTTCACTAATGTGTGTAGACTGCATGTACAAAAGGCAGTATTAATATTATACTGAATTTTTGCCTGTTTACCACTTTCCAAAAGTCATCCTTGACTGTCCCACAGCTGTGACTAATGAACTTTATATATGCGTAGACCATGATAAACTTGTGTTTAAATGTACTATGATGTTTTTCTTCATTATTTATTCCATTTTTAATAGTACAGAAACTTTTTTAAGCATTTTAAAAATTATTTATTTTTATTATATGTCCATTGGTATTTTGCCTGCCTTTGGAAGAGGAATTACAGACAGTTGTGAGCTGCCATGTAGGTGCTGGAAATTGAACCCAGGTTCTCTAGAAGAGCAACCAGGACTCGTAACCACCAAGCCATCTCTCCAGCCCCTGGTTCATCTTTCTTAGTGGAACCTTCAAGTTTCTCGGTTCTTTTGACATAACATAACCTCCATAATCTATGTCACTTTAAGAGATAAGACATTGATCATCAGAAAGCACTGAAGTATATTCAAGTTTAATATTACAAGTTATTTCAAAAATTTCTGATTCACCTGTAGGAATAAAGGATTACTTTTTTTACTTTCCATAATTGTATTTTCTCTTATTGTAAGATTCATGATTTTTAATGATAGCCCATTTGCCTGTCGTATATTATATTTAACTTATACGAAATGGTTTCAATATTACTAATGAATTACTGAAAATTAATATCTTTTTTCTTTCTCTAAAATCTCTTGCTCTTGACTGAAAGCTTCTATATCCATAATTCCTCCAGTTAATATGCAAACTACTCAAGAACAGTTTAAATTATTTCAGGTTGGGATCATAGCTATCACTTTTTAAATTCAATATTACTACTTTGGGGTTTTTATTCAAAATAAACAAAATATTTTCAGGTTAGTCTGTTTTCTTTCTATCTGTCGTGTTTCCCTTAGAACATCCATTTTTAAATTTGATTTACTTTTCATTTATATTTAAATGTAAACAAATATATGCATACATAAATATCATATTTAACTTTGTTTCTGTCTCTTCCTATTGTTTCTTAAAGTGCCTTGCTTTGTACTGCTTAACATGTCCGTAAGATTACTGCATAGTGATAAATGTTTCATATAGTTACTTGAAGGTACATTGTGTGGATATATCACATCATACAAATTTTTACATGTTGATGCACATTTTGTTTCTAGTGTTTTTAATAGAATTATATCTAATAAGCTTGGTTGTACGTGCTTTTGAATCTTTCCAAAAATGTGTTTGGGACAGATTCCTAAAATAGGATTATTCTGTTAAAGGGGAAATGTATGCCAAATGTTACGCTAAATTACTTTACATGGAGATTGAGCCACCTCATAGTGCCATCATAATGCATGAGAGTGATTGGTTCTCATTATCCTTTTTAGTAGAATATCTTGGCAACTTGTTAAACTTTGCCAGTCTAATGAATACGGAAGGTATTACATATTCAGCATTTCATATTAAAGAGTAATAAAATATGTATTATTACAGTATGTTGTAAATTAATCTTTTTCTGTAAGGTGTATGATATGATAAAAGTTATGTTTTTTTCTAGTTTGTACATTACACTTATCTGAAGTGTGGAAATTTTGATGTTTTTTATATAAATTTTTTAAATATTTTGTTTATGTTGAATTTTATGACATGCTACTTTCATAAAATTTAAAGATTCTCACTATGTAGTTTCTCTACCAGATTTTTAGGGTTCTTCAGGTGTTTATAAACATCCTGTCTTCTGAATAAAGATGTAATTACATAGCCTTTGCAGTTCTCTTTGTTACTCATTTATGCATTGTATTTCTAGTACATTGTAAAAAGCATCAGAGGGGTTATGCATCCTGGTTCTATTCTGGAATGAACAGGTATTTTCCTCTTTTTTTTTTTTTTTAAGGCGCTGACCATTCATGACACAAAAAAATGCCAAGCATGGGATCTAGGGACCAATTTCTTTTTATGTGAAGAAGATGTTATTAATGAGAAAAACAGGTAAAAATATTTTAACTGTTACAGTCAAGAAAGTTTTATGTATGGAGAATGCCAGTTTAGTATACTTATTTTCTTTGTAAGGTAAAGAAAGTGACACTGTCTTGGATAAATAAATACTGGCAGATATTTATTTTCTTTGTCAAGGTTTTTTTTTTTTATTTTTGTATTGTTACCTAGAAATGAATTTGACATTATTAAAGGAAGTTTTAAAAACATCATTTAGCAAAGTAATAGATTTTATTGAGACATTTTTATACATTTATATCATTATAGATTGCTTTTATTTCCTTGATCCACACAGACCTTCTCAGCACTTTGTTTTCTCTTCCTTCATTCAGATTGTCCTTCTTCCTGCTTTCATGACATATATTCTTTTTTTTCTGTTACTTTCCTTGTTCTTACCTATACTCTTTGTTCCCTCTGATAGTCCATTTCTACTCTCATCTCTAAAGAAAGTCTGTAGTATTCCTGTCATTAAGAAACTTAAGAAAGTTGGAAATTAGAAGAAAAAGGCTATTAATATAATATATATATTATTATATTATAATATAATATATTATATATATTTTCCTTTATACA